ATATTTTCCATGAGGTCAAAAGCTATTGTTGTTCTTTTATTTATCAACATTCTGTGGAAATTCTGCAGAACTAAGAAGAGAAAAATGCTTTCTGAGGAATTGGTGACTAGTCTCTCTCTAGTCTCTCTAGTCTCGCTAGTCTCGCTAGTCTCTCTAGTCTCTCTAGTCTCACTAGTCTCTCTAGTCTCTCTAGTCTCTCTAGTCTCTCTAGTCTCACTAGTCTCTCTAGTCTCTCTAGTCTCTAGTCTCTCTAGTCTCTAGTCTCTAGTCTCTCTAGTCTGTCTAGTCTCACTAGTCTTTCTAGTCTCTCTAGTCTCTCTAGTCTCTAGTCTCTCTAGTCTCTAGTCTCTAGTTTCTCTAGTCTCTCTAGTCTCTAGTCTCTCTAGTCTCTCTAGTCTCTCTAGTCTCTAGTCTCTAGTCTGTCATGACTGGATCCGGAAGTTTCCATTTTGCCTTCACTTCAGAAAAAGGAGGTAGACAAGATTAGGAACCAAAGGACCAATAAAATTCCCAAGTTTTAACATCCTCATGACGTATAATATTCCGAAAACAGAAGGTACACTGCTCCATCTGGACAAGGTTTCTAATCAAACATTCTACATTCGTTGTCTTACGTGATGAACAAGTAGAACCTTCTTGATCATGCTAGAAAAATTAATTTATTCACTTCCCTACACACACGGAAGCTAAACCATAATCTGGAAACTGTTATCGTGGAAATCTGCCTTTTTAAAAAAAACTAACTGCCTGACCAAACCCCTGTCGCGTGACCAAACATTTGTTACGTGACTAAATATCTGTCATGTGACCAAGACCCCCACACCGCCCTGTCCTATCAGTATCCTATTTCATCGTTCGTCTTATTAATCCACTTACTGAATTCCCTTCACCAACCAGAGGTCTTCCCCGTGTCTTATTTCCACAAAATCTTATTAAATCACGTGGTATGATCGATGTGTACTGATTGGTTCAGAGCTCCCGATCTGTCCGGTGATTGGTGGAGGAGTTCCTGGGAATGGCAGGACGACCCGTTCATTCCCTGGTATTAGAAGGTTCTAGTATTTCAGTGAGTAATAAGCTGGAGGGTGTCTTTATGTGACGATCATCTTCTGCGAATGTGCATGTTGGGGCGTGTGCTGTGTGACTGCGATCTGACTGTGTGACTGTGTGACTGTGTGACTGTGTGACTGTGTGACTGTGTGACTGTGTGACTGTGTGACTGTGTGACTGTGTGACTGTGTGACTGTAATATTCCACATTATAACAGCCTCATTGTCTTATTAATGTACTACCAGTACCACCAGTAATACCAGTACTACCGGTACTACTAGTACTACCAGTAATACCAGTACTACTAGTACTACCAGTACTACCAGTACAACCAGTAATACCAGTACTACCAGTACTACCGGTCTCTTTATCAATAATGTCAAAATCAATAACTTCTCTTAAATGTAAACATTAACTCATTAGGTACGCGTGTAGTATGAAATAGATCACTGACTTATACTCAACACTCTTCTATAACTCTTCTACAATAATCATATAATGGGTTGCTAATTAGTTGAGTTTAAACCAGGCATCTAGCTACTTATATATCTATAAGAGGTTGATACTCTTCACTCTATCGAGTGTGTTCATTCGTAGGTTTAGAAGTTTGCAGGAAGTGCACTCAATTAAATAAGTGTTCTAATTAGTAAAAACTCACTCATTAGCGGTCACTTATTAACGGTCACTTATTAGCGGTCGGTCTTGAACAAAATGAGATAGTATCTGTGGCAGATACGTTTACCCGAGTTTTAGCCAATCCAAACCATGGATACATTACACTCAAACCATTACACTCAAACCATTACACTCAAACCATTACACTCAAACCATACATTACACTCAAACGTTTCCCCTCATTTCTCAATGAAGAGCTCAAATATAATAGCTAAGAGCTATTATTATATATAGAGGAGCTATTATTGCTCGGGGGATACATTTACTTCCATTACGAGATATTCATCATGAAATAGCTATTTCCAGCATATTTCTTTAAATAACTGTACAGTTCTACTTATACCACTTAAATGGAACTATTCTGGAACTTTCTAACAACTCACCTGTAGTCACTCTGTCGCTACGTGCTCCCAATTGGCTCCCAATTGTCTGCAAACTACTGTTATAATTATAGTTCTACAGTACACATTGTCCAATTGTTGGAACTCGTAGTACATTCCATTGTAGTACATTCCATTGTTCGCTGTGCTATTTCAGGCACGTGAGCTGATAAGACCCTTTTTAAAAGGATCCAAACATTCAACAGATCACATACAACTTGTAGGAATGGTATGTGATTATTGTGAAGGAGCAGTGTGAAGGAGCAGTGTTGTTGAACAAGCTTGGTGCCTAGTTGAAAGTGACGCGTCTGATTATAACGCAGTGATATTCACTATATATGTAATATTTATACTTTTAAGTGAGGCTATATCAGTATCTATTATTATACTCTTGTAGGAAGTAGCAGGTTATCTGTAGAGTTTAACAATGAAGACAGTGAGACTGCAGACTGCGACCTATCACAGTGTGGTGGAAAGGTCACGTGTAATAGAATAGCCAATAACAGACGTTATCACATTTAACTTTTCAGCCATATTTATCAGGCAAAAACACGATAATATTAGGTTGAGCCCATTTAATCCATACAATATATAAGGTGCCAATCAGGATTGAGGGCAATTTAAATTGAACTTGTAAATACTAAAACCCTAAACATCTAAAATTAAAATTAGCTAAACAGCTTCCAGTTTTATTTACAAAATAATTTACTGTTCCACTTTTACCTTCATTTTTGCCTCAATTTATACCTCCATTTTGCCTTCAATTTACCTTCAATTTTACCTCCATCCTGTGCCATGATCACATGCCTATCTTCTTCAAGTGTAATGTTGTTGCAGGCTATATAAACAATGTTTATATAGCTATATTGAACATGGCAGACAGCGGTGCAAGTCATAGTCTTCCTGGTTGATTTGCGTCATTCTAGCTCACCCTGACATAGTTAATGATATTTAGAAATATCTTTAACTTTTCCTTTAACTTTCGGTCTGAGCAGAAAATAGGCAAACGATGTTAATATCATTATTGTATTACGTATATAATACTATAAGTATTTATACTTTTATATCCATACCGTAATCGAAACGAATTTAAAGGATAAACTGTATACCCTAAACCATAATTTAGGCAGCAGTCTGTACATTATCTACCGATCAGACTCATCATCATCTATCAGCATCATATAGTCTAACCACCCTACTACTATACCAGTCTATACAATAATAGACAGCTTACAGATCAATTACAGATCAATTATCCAATTATATACCCATTACCCAGTTAAAGGCTTTTAGCTGTACATAATAGGTCCTCATTTGTACACCTAACAATTATAGACCAGTACGTATATATAGAGCGGAGTACATAACTTGACACATCGCCCTTTGTTAAGGTGAGCCGTTAGAACCGGTACAACTGCCAGGCTGTCACGTGACAGGTTATTTATGCTAATTACTTGTCAATGACTTTGGTCGGAGCTTCATGTAGTAATTTTATAACGTTAAAAGCTCATGAGGTGTGCTACAAAATCAATCACTTTTAACTGAGTTAAGGAAAACAGAATTTAAGGAAAACAAAATTCAAATTTTGTTGCCATTACAATGAACATTAATATCATAATAAATATAAGTAAAAATCCGATAATAAACTTGTTAGAACCAGTATTATAGCCCAAGATGCTCTACTAACAAAGAAAAGAACTAGCAGGTTCCTTCGAACACGCATACATAGGCCATACCGATCTAGTTATAATTTTACGTCATATCAAAAACTCTCATCATCTTAAAATACGAAAATAAATTTTATCAATTAAACAATATCAACATGCAATATGACCGAAAATATTCTGATTGGAAATATGTAAGGAAATTTATTTTTAATTCTTTTGCTGCTGTTTGCAATTTAGGTAGGCGCGGCACCGCGCCGAAAAACTCGCGGTGGCACGCCTAAACTAAATTTTGCGAGATAATTTAGCATGCTGACCTCGTGAGATATCACAATTATACTCGTTCTGGTTCGAAACGTAGGTCAGTACTTAAACCAAAAGCAGTTGTCAAAAGGAACCAGTTGCCTGTAAGAGCTTTACTAGCACCCCGATTTACCACCTTTGGGGCACACCCAAACTGTTATTGGGCGATTTGGCGACCAAATTTAAATGACCATGAATAGTTAGGTTGATCCATAACAGCCAAGAACATTTAAGTTTGCCTTTTGCTTGGATGTTAAATTCCAGACAAGTCTTCACTGCAAAGTTTTGTAAAAAGAAGGGCGGGAAAGTGGGAACTGAACCTGTCTAGCTGTATCAGACCATATCTACACATTAGAGACGTACCAATTAGCACAGTGAAATTCCCAGTGTAGCTCGATTACACGGCTATGCAGAACTCCTGAACAAATACTGGCTTTGTGTGCGTGTTGAGAACTTTCTGAAGCCTACATAGTTCCTAAATGAGTCTATAAAAGTTAATGGATGTGCTTATAAGTTAGAGTTCTGGAAATTTGCCAGCGTAATTGAATAACCTGGATCAAACGTGCTGTGACACGCGATATAGTTATTTGTAATTCTTCAGCAGTACAAATGTGACGCGCACGTACGTTTACGCGCGCGTTACTTGGGTTTAAGGGCGAAATTTTAATAATTTGCATGCGAAAAAGTTAAGATGACAAGCATGACATTATAATGAGTGACGTCACCCCTGAGTCCATCCCTTGCGTTCATTATAAGCACTTTCTCCGGGTTTAGTTTCATCGATTATCGCTTTGGAAACATGACGTCACGGGCGCACGCAATCATATCTTCATATTTATTTAAAAACTGACTTTCACTGGCCACATGGAAATGTGACGATTAATAATCCCGTCAAATTCCTCTCATTACCGTCACTTTTCTCCCACAGGAAAGGTCGCCGTATTCGACGGAGGAAGAGTTTGTGAACAAGTATTACTCTAAATCTGTGAAGTTCCCTGAACTACGTCAAGCTGACCCCATATGCTCCACTGCAAATGTTACGGTGGAGAAGCTCTCTGTTTCCCGTGAGTAATTGATAAGTTATTAAAAACTTTTTCTGACGACAGATTTGCCTACAATTTGCCCTGGACGGATGGGCATATAGATTATAGATTACTACGGTTGATGTTCTTATTTTTGCTAAATATAGTTTGTTTAAAAATTTAAGCCGTTTCAACGCTATAAGGCTGACTCAGTTTATACTCTTAACAGTATGTTACTGTTTTCAGAGCAAGGGACCCCACACTCGTCACCACACCCTACTAACGATACTAAAGCTAGTCTTGATTTGATGAGCGAGACCGTTTCTGATAGTACCATTGACAGGTTAGGTTTATTTCGTACCCGAGATTTATACAAAAATGATTTTGATTTGATCTGATGCTAGATCATAGAAGCTATATTGGCTTTTAAAAACGGTTTTGATCATGGCTTATCTGATTTAATTTTGTGCGGAACTACCTGCTAACTTAAAATCACTAATTGTCAGGTTAATACGAGAAAATGGGTTACATTTAACTGGATCATTCAAATCTCTACCCGATCTGACAGACCCTAACGGTCAGAGTTTTAACACTCTGATCTACAACAGTGGTAATAGAAGTAGAGGAGATAACCTCAACGAGAGTCTCACCACAAACCAACTTCTAGGAGGTGGGCTTATCGGCTAATTTGTTAATTATCAGCTAATTTGTTAATAATCAGCTAATTTGTTAATTATTTTATCTATTTTTAGTATAAGTGGGTTTCCGCATCAAAGCATGCACAAAAATGGATGAAGTAAGTCACGCACTAGATAGGGTTGTTGAAGGTTATTTGCCCGATAGGGAAAGTTATTATTTGCTGTGTAAGGATACACTGCTCTCTAATATTAGTAATTTAGATTCAATTAATTACGAAATTTTATTTCAGCATCAGATCCCACACTTCCACAGATGTCAGAATCGTTCAATAATCAAAAGGCTAACAATTTGAACAATCAGGACTATAGGGTAAGTAATGTAATAAATTAATTTAAGCGTATTTCATTTAAAATATCTAACTGATCGCTAATTGTTTGGAACCTTTTTTATTCATACAATATTTTTGTTAAAAATCTTAAACAAACCACTAACAAGTCAACAGAAATGTGCTATGTTGCAGGTCCAACATCTGATGGAGTCTTTCAGAGCAGATAGCGGCCTAAACTTATCAGCAACTCAGCTTACTGATCTGGCTGCTTCCTTCTCTACTTTCCTCAATAACAACCCAGTTCAGGTTAGTGGTGTGTGAATTAGTCCCCCTCTGTTTATCCCTTCTTCGCACACTCTAACCTGAACCTCCTATCCTCCCTTTATTTACCGGCCCCAGGACACGTAACATCCCAACTCAATGCAAACAAATATTTTAATCGTCAAATTCCGCAGGGTTTGTCTGTGTCGGACCAGGATTACGCCAGTATAAAAAACAGTCTGGTAAACCAAGCTCAAGAAGACGAGGTCGAGGACGAGTTTGATTGGTCCACGATACTATGAGCCAACCAATAAGAACAGTCAGACCAAATCATGTGACCTGAGCCAGCAAATCAGATCAGAGCAGTATTAAAAGTGGAGTTTATCCTTGCGACTTAGATGCTCAGCTGAATATGGGACGAATAAAAGAGAAAGTTTGAAGATAACAAGGACTTATCAATGGTTTAGTATATATTATGGAGATATTGGAACAGAATATCCAAGTACAAACTTTACTGTAGGAAGAATATTTTAGGAAACTGCTCTTCGTAATGTTGCGATCAGCTGATATTAGATTTAATGCGTTGATTTATACTAGATTTAAGAAAAAATTTCTTGTAAATTGTGAATTCAGAACAATATAAGTATATTTTTACAGTTGTAAAATCTTGTAATTACCCTAAATGTTGTGTGTTACAACCTGCTCAATATGTAGTTTGTACGTTGAGTATATTACGTTGGGAAGGTTTCCCTTTCTTACCTAAAATTCCTTATCTGAGGAATGCTATCAAAATGAAGTAAAATCTTGACGAAACTTAATGAAGCTATGAAGTCAACAGTCTTCAGTCACCCATGACCCATCTGCTTTTCAAGGAACTTTTCACTGTACTAGATAGATTGTGATATGGGTGACACCCAATTTGACCTAGTTCCCACACAGTTAATAGGGCGCCCAATCAGCTTAATTGGGTACCCGATCAGCCTAAATCCCAAAACGGCGCTCAAGATTTTACATCATCAGTCTAGATAAGGAGAGATTATCTAAAATTAGTGCGCAGAATTTAGATTATTTGATTTATCGGTAATTTTAGACGCAGTGGTTGTGGTACAGAAAATATTCTTATATAGCTCATGGCAGAAACCTTACTAATAATCGAATACAGACGGTCCAGTCGATTTATATTGATCTTTGAGAATTACAATTTAACCACTAACCATTTCAAAATATTCTTGATCCGCTTGTTTTGGTTATATTTAGTGTTATTTAGTTCAGTTTAAGTGTTAATCTGCTGGCCTGGTGTACAAACATGATTACATAATTATATAATTACATAATTACATAATTACATAATCACATAATTACATAATTACATAATTGCATAATTACATTACATCGGGTGTCACGTAACTAAACACGGTTCTTGAGTTAGCTGCCAGAAACAATTGAGCCATTTCTATTTTCTAACATGACTGTTATATCGGAGTTATAAAGTTATAAAATGTACTTTCAAACCTTGCCATATTTTCCAATTAATTAAATGTAATACACCATGGTTAGTGTAATGAAGAAGTAGGCCGTGCTTCAAAAACGTCTCAATTATGCTTCATTTTAATACATTAAACTCTAATGCAATTCAATGTAATGCAATGTAATGTAAATATCTTTGTACACCACCTTTATTATTATATGAGCTATTTCGTTTCTTAGTTAACTAACTAATGGGTGATGATTGGAATGTTGCTAGAGAAGAATTTCCAAGCTTTAATACAGTTAATTGTTTGCCAGAATTAGTTTCACGACTTACGATAAGCATATTTCTAAATTTAGCCTTTACTTATCATTTCTTGAAATTAGCCTTTCCGTTGACTGCTAATCAGATATATTGATAAGGAATTCATTAAGAAACATTTCTGTGTTCCTTAAGATGTGATGGATTTTTAAAACTGGTTTTATTAGCATTCTGAAAATGTCAGTTCTTTGAAATTTCAGTGTATCCTGTGAAATTGTCGAATTGTACAGTTTAATTTTTGTTTTTAAATTTTGTTTCTTTTCTTTGTGTTCGTGGGTATTTAAAGAAAAACAGGTTGAATGAAAAAGTCACCCTGTCAAATAAAATTTAAAATAGAAGAAAATGAATAATAATTCGGAAGTTTGATCAATTAATATCCGTGATTTACATGGTCTATATTTCGCTGCATCGATATGGGATTATTATGCTTAGTATGGGGTCGTTCACTCACATGCTGCGGAGAAAAAAGTGAATAATCAACAAAGTCGGTGTCGATTCATGCATCATGTGAACGATCCGCGATCTACCAGATTAAAACCTTGGCGAGCATTGGAGTTGCCGATTATGTCAAGAGTCGAGTTTTCTGATGAACTCTTACATTTTACAACCACTATTACATATTATTTCCGATCATTTATTAATTGAAATTCCACCCCATCAATGCAAAATAAATTAAAAGTACAGCCACATGCACAGGTGGATTTTTATTTTTATTTTGCTAGGAATAATCAGTATAATATTTATAAATGTAAATAGTTTGAATTTGTATTATGACTTTGTACCATGACTTTGTATTAAAATCATTATTTAAATATACAACCACAATTGAACTTGTCATACGTTGTATGACCCGCCGCGCGCACGGGTGCGCGGCTCCCCCTATATCGTTGAAAATGAAACTTTACTATAGTGAAGCGACAGTGGGGGTCACCACGTGATACAAAATTGAACTTGATTTATTTTTAAATCTATACGCCGCCTGCCAAAATAATTTGTAGCTAGATCGGATCTAGCTACAAATTATTTAAATATCAAGCTATACTACATATTATTGTCATTTAGTGCCACGACAATGGGGGTCAAGACTTGTATCACGTTGCGACCCCCACGGTCGTCCTGACGATACAGGGGGCCGGGGAGCCGCGCACTTCGTGCGCGGCGGGTCATACAACGTATGACAAGTCACGACGTGATACAATACTTTTTAATTGACGATGTCAATTCATGGCAGCTCGGCGCGGCACAGTAGCGCATTTCGCCGATCTAGCCAGTGTCGCTGTGAGAAGCCTTATTGAGTGCGCGGCGCGGCACAGTAACGCATCGCGCTACAAAATACTTTCAGTGACCAGTTGTCAAAACAGTTGGGAAACTTGACGGTTGCGTCAAATTTAGACGTCTGCTACCCACCTATACTATAATAGTGAATTAACGACAGTGGGGGTCACCACGTGATACAAAATAGCCTGAGGTCCCCATGTAAAAAAAAGCTGTTATCTCGCGGGTGTAATGATTTTACTTTTAGTGGGAACTTTTACTTTCAACTTTGGTTTTGGCAGGCGGCGTATAGATTTAAAAATAAATCAAGTTCAATTTTGTATCACGTGGTGACCCCCACTGTCGCTTCACTATAGTAAAGTTTCATTTTCAACGATATAGGGGGAGCCGCGCACCCGTGCGCGCGGCGGGTCATACAACGTATGACAAGTTCAATTGTGGTTGTATATTTAAATAATGATTTTAATACAAAGTCATGGTACAAAGTCATAATACAAATTCAAACTATTTACATTTATATGTTATAAATATTATACTGATTATTCCTAGCAAAATAAAAATAAAAATCCACCTGTGGCTGTACTTTTAATTTATTTTGATGGGGTGGAATTTCAATTAATAAATGATCGGAAATAATATGTAATAGTGGTTGTAAAATGTAAGAGTTCATCAGAAAACTCGACTCTTGACATAATCGGCAACTCCAATGCTCGCCAAGGTTTTAATCGAATCTGATCATATTTGCTTCCATAATCTCAGCGTTCTGCCATTGGCATTGTACTTGTAGATTTTTCGGGGAAGATAGAATTTGGTCGCTTCATTTTTATTTAATATGATTGTTCGATTGACGTAGTTTTCTACCGAAATTATATGCTCAGTGTTCTGAATGCAGAACTGTATTACTATTATGTGCAGGAAGACCTTGGCGAGCTTTACAAAAAGCCCGTTATACTTATAGTCGACTTTTCCGTTCACCTTTTTCGTTTAAGCACTTTACAGGCCAGTACCCATTGGTCACGGGATTGTTGATATATTACGTTGACACGTAACATTCCATTTTCTGATCGGATTCTTGACAAGATCCTTGCAAGGATCTTGTCAAGAATCCGATCAGAAAATGGAATGCTACGTGTCAGCTTGATTAAAGCAAGGAGTATAAAAGTTATAATCGAAAATAATCCACATAATAATAATTTCATGGTTAATAATTGACCGAGAATTGAGATATTTTCAGTACAAAAATATCACACGGTTTCTTTCATAAATCCATTCGACTTCGAGTTTGACCTGCTAGTCTTATCTATCTTATCAGTAACTAAAACCTTGCTCTTTGAATCAAGTTCCCCCATTTCAAGTCTAGTTTCGAAGTTTTTATCGCGTGACGTCATGCAGTTACGTGACGTCACAGCTTTCGCGTGATTTCGATCATGTCTGTCCTTTCTGAAGGGATTCTTCATGGGAATTGAGGAGGATATTTTGTTAATTGGAGGTGCTGAAGAGTTGATTGGTTCTGTGATTTTAATGTTACAAACAGACACAACACTGCTGGAGGTGGACACTAAGGAGGGAGAGCTAAGGAGAGGCGGATCCTGCCTACCACTTCCGGCTGAAGCAGGTCGTGTTTCAAATACCGGATTGTAGAACTGAAGGTCAGGGGTTGAATCACGTGATTTTGAGCTGGAACTATCACGTGACGTCACGTTCTGATGTGAGGTCGCTACAGCGCGTGGTGTGATGACGTCATGTGGTGTAGCGCGTGGTGTGATGACGTCATGTGGTGTAGCGCGTGGTGTGATGACGTCACGTGATGTAACGCGTTGTGTGGAGGGGTAGGACTTCTCGAAGGAGCAGCTTGTCATCAGGAACCATTTTGGCATGACAACGTTCACTGCTTCGTCACACCTGGGATAGAGCGTGGTCAAAGTATGGGGATCGGAAATGAGAGTTGAAAAGTTACGGTTACTATAGTATATATATATATACTATAGCAACCGTAACTATGTCTATAGCAATTTATATATAATACTCACTTAGTAACTGTCAGCATTGTTAAAGCTACCACATGATTTCACTATGAAAATGTAGTTCTACGACGCTGCCTTTTTGTACATAAAAAGCAGCTACTTGCAGCAATGCAGCTATTAGGCACTCAGTCAAAGTAAGACTTGATATGGGTTAACTATTGACTACATAATAAAATTATCTCATAGAGCACTAGACTAGTAAAACCAGTAGATATCCTTGTTGTGTGGCTAGTATAATAATATATAATATTTAATATATAATAATAGTATTATAATAAACAAGGAAATTAGGAAACGCCATGCAGATCGACAGTTAACTCGTATCTTAGCCCTTAGATCAGTATCCTACAGTATTAAGATTTCAGAGATGATGCAATATTAGATTGTGGTAGAATACATTCACCAAATTACAGATACTATTCTTTTAACAGTTATATATCAGGATTCAGGAAGTTCTTAGTGATTTGTTGATAATTTATCGTCAGCACTGGGACACCATGTAGATTAATTTTAGTACTCGGCGTTACGTTACAATGACCTTCTACATGAGAGTTACGTATATTACGTACAAGTAAATAATGGTGAGACCGTCGTCCATCACAATGGTGCAGTGACACTCCTCATTAATATGTTGGGCCTGTGATCGAGTAGAATACTTTTCATAGTTTTAATTCATTGATTACTTGTTAGTTTGTATGTTTGTATTCATGATTCAGTCTCAATTCTCATAATCTCATATGTCATATATGATTTTAGAAATTTAGCATATTAGCATAATAGGTCGGAGAATAAAAGGAGGTGTGAGGTAAAGTCACGATTGTTTATAGAAATATCATAGAATTATAAATTATAACGTGCAATGTTTTCTTTTTTAAGTTTTAAATTTTTAATGCAATACTTACAACTTATATGATGATTTTATTTTAAGATGGATGATTTAATAAAATAAAAAATTCATTTTCGATTTTTAAAGTTTTTCAGTTTCACATATCAATATTAATGAATATTATGTACTACATGCTATAATGTTCATAACATGCTGTGGCAGAATGACAGGCTGAGCGCCTCTTAGTAAATTAATATGGTTTTAACTCAAACAACAAAACGTTAAACATAGATTTTAAAAGCGGAATTTTCCAAGAAAAAATATTTGCCATAAAAAATTCATGTGCTACTCATGCTATATAATTGTATCCATACTCTCAGATGTAATCTAAATACGCGTAGAAATAATTCTATTATAAATAAAGGTATTCATGCACAATAAATTCTGATATTGTTCGGTTTAATTGAACAAGTACAATAATTTGGTAAAATACTAATAATAGATAAAAAGTAATAAAATCAAAGTTTAGTCAATAATGTTCAGTTTTTTGATATTTGCTCTGTGCTACATTCTTTGTTGAATTCATACTTTGAAATGCTCACAAACTGTCGTAAGTCTCCAACAAAGAAAGGGGTGAAAGAACAACCGCTTATTCCGCCCGCAGGAGAAAAATCCCCCAAGAGCCCAACAGTAACTGCTCATACTTGTAAATATGCCAAATCTTTATGCCATTCATCTCTGCTTTAGAACTCGCTTTGATTTCCTGTACATCATCAATAGCTAATCCTGTGGCAAGATTCAAGAACAGAATCTGAATCACGACAGAAAATAAAATCAATACCAAAACATAGCCGTTGAGTTGCAGGATGGCTTGGTCATTTCCAGTATCATAATCGGAATAGGACGCCCCAGACACCCCCATTGTAAAGGTTTTGTAGTAGGGCGACCACGAGCCTAACCCTGCGAAGTAGGAATTGCCATCAATTCCTACGGAGAGAACGCTAAATGCACACACAAAAGCTATGATGAGGAGAACAAAGAGAATGCCTATACTTTTAAAGAAGTTAACCACAATCTTTTGGAACATGATTATGTGCAGCCCAAGTTTGAGGAAGTGCACAGCTTGCATGTATATCAAAATGGTTATGAAAGCAAAAACATTTGCCGCCACGCCAGTCTGCCAAAGTGCGGTAGAGATCCTGTCCTCCATTAAGAAGAGAGATGAGCACACAAATATCAAGGTGAGGATGTAAGACAGGTCCTTGGCCAAGTACAGTTTTTCTTTATGGTATCTGATGATGCCCAAGTTCTTGTTCGACCAGATGTGCAAAAGCTGGAAGATTGATAGGAAGGCTGTCAGCGCTAGTAAAACATATCCTAACTTTTCCGCCTCTTCCGTCTTTTTAGATATGGTTATAAAGCAGTTGTCAGGATCTGAGAGCATTTGAACGCCGTAAGGGCTTTTACATTCCCATGTAGAATTCTTGAAGATATCATAATGCATTTTGAACGTAAATCCAGTTAGAAGGGACAGAAAGAGAAAGTGGATGAAGCCAAAGATGACAAAAAATTTGAAACCGAAGTTGTTCCACTTGATATCAACTAGGGATTTAACCACAGGATGAGTCAACATTTCAACAGCTTTCTTGGACCTTCGCATTATTTGGAGCGGACACTTATTAGCAGCGTAAGCGAAGGGTTCATACTTCGGACCAACTGCTTTGAGGAGGTCTTCTTCTTTACCATTATTTTCATTATCTTCAGGTCTTCCGTACTTTTCCAACATGCCAAAGTCAACGATAACTCTCAAATTGGATGCCTTTCTTTCTTCATCTGCCGCTTGTAGAAAACTCATGCCTTTGTCAAGTATTCTTTGTATATTTGTCTTTCGTTCATCATCATCATAGACGTGATCAGTCCAACAATTGTTTAGGGTATCAATCACCTTATCAGGGTTTTTAAGAATGAGACAATTTATCGGAGATCTATCATCAAGTAGTTTTTTTTGTTTTGGTCTTGGATGATATTTTATCGGACACTCATTTTCTGCAAGAAACTGTTTTTCTCCACTTTTTACAGTCCAAGCAAATTTTCCATCAGAGTTCTTTTTTTTGGTTTTTTGCTCCCTAGTAAACTTCTTTCCATCAGTCTTTTCTTTTTTGATATTGCATCGGAAATGCTTGTTATATGATGTCACCCGATTTCTACTCATGATTTTGTCCACAACTTTCTTGTTTCCATAAATGGCAGCTTGGGCAAGCGGAGTATAACCTCTCTTCTCAGACACATTTATTACTGAGCGTTTCTTATCTTCCGCTCCGTCTTCCATATCCAAACATTCAAGAGCCATTTCAGGTTCCTGCAATGCAATAGCCAGATGAAGAGGAGTGTACTCCCATTTTTTTGTTGCAATATCTAAGGGTAAAAACAATTTGTCTTTAACTTTGTTGAATTCCTTCAGACACTCCAGGTTACCTGACCTTATAGCTGCATGCAAAACTGTTTCGCCGTTAAATGACTTCGTGGTCAAACTGACTTGTGGATTTTCTAAGAACAGCCGGACTGTTTCTGGTTTGCCGCTTGCTGCTGCTTCATGTAACGGGGTTGTAGCCTTTCCGTTTTTTCGATTGATTAGGAGGGTTGCAGTCTTATCGGCCAGCGTAAGCATGATTTTTATAACCTCATTGTGTCCTCCGACAGCAGCAAAATGGATAGCCAGGTTCGCCAAATCAGCTTTAAGATTCAAAATTTCCGAATTATTTACATAATCACACAGGAATTTCGTTGCCTCGAAATGTCCTCTAATGGCGGTGTGATGAAGAGGTGACCAGCCGTATTTGTTTTGATACATAATCATCAACTTCGCTTCAATACCCATCTTTTCACCGTACTCTAAAAGAATTGTCATTATTTCCACTGCATTTCCTGAAGCAGCACCGCTAAAAGGGATAGACTCCCATACATTTTCTTTGTCTAACAGATACTTTTTCACCCCGAGGAATGACTCTTCACAAAGATACTTGACTACGTCAACCCTGTTATGCTCAGCTGCATCATGCAACATAATCACACCATTGAAGTTCCTACAATAACCGTTCCCAAGAATGCCTTTTGGAAGTTTTCCTTAAGAAATGTCATGAAGTACTTAACTAACTCAATATGACCGAATTTGGCTGCTAGATATAGTGCTGTAATCTCTCGGTTATTATCTTTATCCATGACATAGTCGTGCGACCCGATTGTTTTAATTTCGTCAACTAAGTACATTACAAGTTTAAGCCGCTCTTTTTCGATCGTATCTAGCTCGGCCCCTTCTTCATCCTCGTGTCCACTGTCATCGGGCCTTTTGTAATAAACAGCACCGTGCAGTATGGTGTATCTATCCGTGTGGCGCTCATATAGAAGCATTCTCCTACTTTCATTATCAGGAGACAGAGACAACAAGAACTTCAGGACCTTAAGATGGCCGTAGGCAGCTGCATAGAATACTGCATTGCAATTATGAGCATCCACATCTTTAGGTTCCCAGCCTGCTTTACATAGAAACTCTACGATGTCAACATTGCCAAGCATACAGGCCTCATGTAACGCACTTCTACTCTGAAAATTTGGAGATTTGATTTTGACTTTGAGGTTCTCGTCCTCATCAAGGTTGAAGTCTTTTGGAATTAAACGTTTAAGTATATCAAGTCTCCCTTTAGATACCGCTAAGAGGACTGGAGTCATCCCCGTCTTTGGCTCTTGAAATACGAGCCACTTCTTCAAATTACGTGCTGTGAAGGCCGCATCAAATAGTTTTAAATCATCACCAAAATCACTTATTCGACTTATCACTTGATGTAGCGAAGTCCACTTTCTTTTTACTTTGTCCTTTCCCTTCACCAGTATCTTGAAGGGCTCCCAATCCTTTGGTAGTTCTGGTACAGCATCATGGGGTGAATCTGATGAATCACTGTTATACCCATCATAATCATCATCCGAGGAATCTTCCTTCAAACCTTTATAGGAAACATTAACTCCATCTTTGACCTGGAGTTCTATTCCTTTTTCAGGGTCTTCACTCATCTCCCGGCCTTTTGGTTGACCATTTTGAGCTGGATAAGTTATTTTAGAATATTAATTTTGAGAAATCATGAACTAACAAGACATATCCGAAAATGAAAATAGGTTTCCAATTTAAGGAGTCAAAAGGAATCAAAGAGTGCTGCGCAGATCGAACAAAGCTTTTAAGTTAAACGGTGGCTCAGAGAATGGCCCGGAAAAAGACTATCAGCAGCTGAGAAACAAGATGTTGTAATGTATACTGCCGCTATCCAATGACGTTAATAGTGATCCCCCCCCCCGTGATGCTACCCGGTACATTCAACTGTGTGTAACTGTAAGTGTGTAAGTGCACTATAGCTGAATTTGTTAAAGGCGGTCTAGCAAGGGCCGGTTATACAATAGATATCTCAGACAATGGAAGGAGACTTTTTAGCAAACTACAATAGTGTGTCACAATTATGTTTCTTTACTATCTTACTATATATAAAGCGAGACGATATGGTTACCATTCTAGTATTGTAGACGATGCTTTCAACAAATTTAGTGATATAACCAATAGGAAAAACTTGTATGCCCCTAAAAATAAGGATGAGACGACTACTTGTCTAATACCCATGGTGATGGATCAGAATCCAGCACTTCCCAACATGGGGAGCATTATTCACAAGTATAAGCACCTTCTTAATCTCGATCCAGCCTTGAAGAAGCTAGTACGTGCTGACAGTGTATTTGTAAGTCACCGAAAGAATCAAACTATCGGTGGCATGCTTGTACACAATAAGTATCGTGCTAGTGGAACTGTAAGCAGTGATAGAGATGGAGAAGCCACTGCTAGTCAATTTCTTGAACCAGACGCTGCAATATTGCCGGCTGTTCGGGAGGCTGACAACGCAGGGTGCCATGCCTGTGGAAAATGCTATGTTTGTAAGCAAAGTTTCCTGTCCCCTTGTTCCAAATTTAGTAGTCACCATTCTAAACAAGTTTTCCCTATTACTAAATATATAACTTGTCAGAGTAATAACCTTATTTATTTAATGGAGTGTAGAACTTGTAAACAGTCGTATGTAGGATATACTACTTCTAATCTCCCTAAGAGATTTTCTAATCATAAGAGCCACATTAAGAAAGGTATCAGAAGTTGTAAGTTAGTAAATCACTTTTTAGATATTGATCATGATTTAGATTTTAGTTCAGTAGCCTTATATAACTCTTCACTTAGTACGCACCTTTCTGTTATCATAGTGGACGCTCTTGAATTTAAACCTGAAATAAGTCAAGCAGATAGGGAAAAGGCCATGGAAGCTAGAGAGGGGTTCTACCAGACCCAATTGAAAACCCTTGAGCGTTATGGGGGTATGAACACCCTCGATAGTAACCACATCCTTTTTAAATCCGCTGGAGCTTAGTGTTTAGTTTATTTATTTTATTTGACATGATCTCAGCCTATTAACCCGTGTTTAGTTTACAATATTGCTATCAGAGACGTGTTATATTCATTACTATTTATATATTTTTACTGCTTGATTCAGAGAAATCTAGCTTTTTCCGAGAAACTAATCTTTAATAGATTAGATAAAATGTATGCAGCCATTCTTTTCGTTTGATTATTACTCAGTATATTTTAGTTTTGTACCGTTTTAAGTCACATAGTTTTGTACGTCTTCCTAAGACTTGTTTTCCTTTCCTAGTTTGTAAGTTATTTTAAAGATTTGTGAATATTCCAGTTGCTTTTAGAACAATTTTATCTCAGATAACGATGTTTAATAAAATGATGCAAAGACTTATTTCGAAGATCTAATCAACACCGACTTTTAATGTGTAGGAGTACAGCTACAAAATATATATATATATATCCATAGACACAGTGTTTCGTCCTATTAGGACTCATCAGTATGGCTCAAATCATCAAGGTTGGTTTGATATATATATATACGGGTATCGGCCTTACAAAATGACAGGCCTCACAAAATGACAGCCCACATAGACCATGCTGTAGCTTAGGTTCCCTATACATTGAACCCTATTCCTTTTACTGTATGAAAGAAAAAGCATTAATTAACACTTCCCAAGGAATGATAATGACATAGAATCTATATTTCTTACATAAATATGGACGTTTTTGCTGTTCAGTCATTGCCCCGACTAATTGTTACCCAGAATGGAGACCAAAGTTTAGAATTTAACCCCAGAAAACCAGGTACTACCATGACTTATGTCAATCAAAGACTACTCTGGTCAAATAAAAAAACTGATTTAGTGACTTTGGTAGAAGAAATGACAAAAAATGACCTAGCCTCACAAAATGACAGTGTTATGCCTCACAAAATGACAGTTTTATTTTATGATACAAAGATGGCATATTTATATTGGATGCCCCTTGCCTAATTATTGGTATTCTTAAACCCAGTAAGCTTATGACGAGCCTAAATGTGTTTGTTTGATCATCAATTTTGATCAAAATGCCTCACAAAATGACACTGAAAAGCCTTACAAAATGACAATGTTTCAGATTGAATTACTTTCATCATCTAAAATGGATCAGAAACAGTCAATACAAGAAGGAGTTAAAAATAATCATAATCTGACAGTTAACAATCAAGTAGCATTAAAAGAGTGCAGTTCTGATATCAAAACTTTGATTTCAAACTCTTTGATTTCAAACTCTGATTTCAAAACTCAACGAAATAAAGCTTCTATTTTGTGAAAGCAGAGAGTAATAACAACTCCTAAAACATGTCAAACGTTAACTAAACACTGAAAAGTGATCTATCCAGTCATAGAAAATATCAAATATAACCAAATACTGTGTTCAAGTATGAAAACAAAAAATGATTTTAACGCCTCACAAAATGACATTTTTAAAATTTTTTCAAAGTATAAAAAATGTTCCTTTTTTAATATATTCTGGTAAAAACAGAACTGGTATAATATAAACAACATATATATCTAACAGTAAGACACGTGAAAGAATAATGAAACTTTTTCCCAAATCGGATTTGAAGTGATGCCGTTTTGGGTTGTCATTTTGTAAGGCACTATCTCACGCGAAATTGCCCAACTTTTTTCAATCATCCTTTTTCCTGTAAAAGCTATTCTAATCTTCAATCTATTATATTTATCTAACTGTCCTAGGTGAAATCAAATTTCTATAGGCTGCTGTTAAAAAATGACAGCCGTGACGAAATTGTCATTTTGTAAGGCATGTTTTTTTGGAAGATTTCAAAGATGACAATTTTTATCGCAAAATTTACGGTTTTTCAATCAAATCAACCCCCGGGAAGAAAAATATACCTGTTGAACTACCTATCTGGATAATAAAACATGAACAAAACTCATTTTTGTGCATTCCAGAGCCATCTCCTTTTTCGTGTCATTTTGTAAGGCCAATACCCGTATTATGTTTATACATAAAACGGATCGTTTGCCCGCCAATTTGATTTGTTTCAATTGTTCGAATTATAATGCTCCTGCTTAACTGCAGTCGAGCACTCTCTTTGGGAAACCAAGCAACTGCAACTATTTAATATTTATTATATGTTTATTTAAATATATCCGTGCCAATTTACTGACACCACGGCATCAACTTTCCGCGAAAACCGTAAAAGATACACAGCTTAAACGTTTTTGACTGATTCAAATGCTTTAATGGCCTTCAAATCAGCATTAAAAAATAAAAATTGGCCAAGGAATAAGAAAGAATTTTAGTGCCCAAAATTTGGTCAAAAACGCGAATTAAAGAATTAAATAGGTAATAATTATTTTAGAGGAACTTCCGGTTCTTTTGCGATAGTCAAAACGCGACAACTAGCCCTGGATGGCGACAACTAGCGCTATCCAGCGCTAGTTGTCGCCATCCAGCGCTAGTTGTCGCTATCCAGCGCTGGATAACGCTGGCCAACGCAAAATATATATGTTCGATAATTGTCGCTATCCAGCGCTAGTTGTCGCCATCCAGCGCTAGTTGTCGCCATCCAGCGCTAGTTGTCGCTATCCAGCGCTAGTTGTCGCTGGCTATGCGAC